CGCCCTGGGGGAGCCCCCAGCCAGGTCTTGGGAAGAGACGGAGGGCTGGGTGGCTGCGAGTCACTGGCTCATGCCAGGCCAGGTGCAGGGTCTGCTGGCTGGGTGCTGGCAGGCTTGCAACTGGCACAAGCACTGTAGCCAGACCATGCCCCTTTAAGGACTCCGGGGCCGGGAGGGGGGCAGAAAACTTTCCCTGGTTTGGCCCAGAGTGGCCACCAGGGCAACCTGGGAAGGGCTAGCCTCCAACTAGTTCGACTTAAGTGGCTACACAGCCCTTAATTCGAACTACTTAATTGGAACTAGGCGTTAGTTTACCTAGTTGGAATTAAGCGCTCCGCTAGTTTGATTTAAATTCCAACTAGAGGTTTCTACGTGTAGCCCCTATTAAAGTTAATTCCAACTAAGAGCTGTTAGTTCGAATGAACTTTGCAGTGTAGACAGACCCTTACGTGCTCCCACCAGCACTTGCACAGTGGGCATTCTCCCGTGTGTGGGGATGTGCATGGATGTGCGACCGGGGCACACGCACAGGCACACACCTGCAGGCCTGTGCAACCGGGGCACACACTGTATACATCCCCAAGTCCTGGCACACGGGTGTGCGAACAGGCAGTGCTTTCCTGTGTGTGTAGGCTCACTCCCAAATGAGCCTGCACGCATGGCTGTGGCATAGTGCCCTCACCAGTCACGGGGAACGTCTGCCAGACTGGCTCCGCTCTGGGCAGCCTGCCCCCTCTGACCCTCCTGTGACCCATGCTTTCTGCCCTAGGCTACCAGCCCTTCCTGAAGATCTACCAGGCCATGCAGCTTGTCTACACCTCGGGGATCTAGTGAGTATGGGGCGCCTGCTGCTCGGGAGCTGCAGGGCCTCCACCAGCTACTGACCCAGCCCTCCTGTTTCTATGCCCCCCCTTGCAGCAGCATCCCAGGCCCCGGCCCCCAGAAGGTCTGTGTCACCCTAGAGCCAGCCCTGCTGCTGAAAGGGGATGTGATGGTGAGTACCGGCAGTGCCAGGAATGGGGAGCAAAGCCCAGAGGGGACGACGGCTCTGAGGCCAGCAGGGAAGGGGCAGGAGGATCTGGGGGGCTGACACAGTCACCTGCCAGACAGCTCCATGGAGCAGGCAGTGGGTGTGAGCATGGGGCAGGGCACAGCTCGTGTGGGGCTGTGAAAATGGGTGTCAAGGTGCACAAATGGAGGTGAGCGTGTCCATGGGTGTGCACAAAGGGGGTCTGAGGATGTGTGTGCAAGGGGGTATCAGCGTGCCCAAATGGAGGAGTGTGTGCCTGTGAGTGTGCGCATGGAAGGCTGAGGGGGAGTGTGCAAGGGGAGTGTCAGTGTGCATGCCCCGGGGATCTGTGTGGGCGTGCATGGGGCCTGTGTGCATGTCCATGGCTTTGCACATGGTTGGGCTCCCTACGGCAGTGCTGACCCACCCTCTCGCCAGGTGAAGTGCTACCACAAGCAGAGCGGCAGCTCCGACCGGGACGTGGTTTTCCGCGTCCAATTCCACACGTGCACCATCCATGGTGCCCAGCTCTGGTTCGGGAAGGACGAGTTGGATGATGCCTGGCAAGGTGAGTGGGGTAGGGGGCTGCACTGGGGCAGCCTCCAAATGAGCAGCCACCTCTCTGGGGCAGAGCACCCCCAGCCTTGCGCTGGGACACCTGCTCCCCTAGTGCCTGGGATCCCCTTGCTGCCCCTGGCGTATGGGACTCCCTGCTCCCTCGGTGCCTGGGACATCCCTGCATCATACCCGGTGCCTGGGACCCTCCTCTTCCCCCTTGTACCTGGGACCCCGCTTCCCATCCCACCCTCATACCTGGAACTTTTGTGCTCTTCCTGCCCTTCACTCTCTTGTGCTACCCCCCGGCCAATGGCTGCTCCCTTCACATGCTCCCCTCTCTTTTCCTCTCCCCAGACGAGCGCTTCCCCTTCGAAGCCAGCGTGGAGTTTGTCTTCTCCTCTGGCCCCGAGAAGATGAAAGGTGAGGGGCTGGCAGACGGGGAGGGGTGAGTTCCCCCCAAGCAATAGCTCCCCACACACTGAGCCAAGCCAACCCAGGAATCTCCTGCCCCTGGACCAAGGCAATAGCCCCCCAGAGCCAGAATTGACACCCCCAGGACAGAAGTTCCCATGCCCTGGGCTGGGCTGGGAGGAGTTCCCAGAGGCAGGAGATGCCCCCAAGCTGGCCAGAGTCCCCATAGTCAGCTGGCCAGGTTGAGCAAAGCCCAGTTCCTGGCTGAGACGGTCCCCACCCCAGTTGGAGGGCGGCCCATGGCCCTCACCAGTGCTCTCCCCGCAGGCCTGGAGAGCTTGCGGAACCATCCGTCTGTCGCGGTGGATTATAACATCGCCGATCCCATGGTGCGCTGGGACTCCTACGAGCACTTCAACCTGCACCATGAGGACAGCCTGGAAGGTACAGCTGGGTGCTGGCAGCGCCTGGGCACAGCCACCCCCAGCCATCCGCCCCCTCCTCCTCAAATGACTCGCATACCACATGGGCTACCGGCCAGACCTGTGGGACTGCCCATACATAACAGTGTGGCTATGGCGCTGGGCTGGGAGTCAGGTTCTTCTCTCAGCTCAGCCACTGCTGCCAGGCCTCGGCCAAGCTGCTGTCTCTTGCCGTGCCTCAGTTTCTCTTCCCACCCTTTGTCTGTTCAGACTGTGAGGAGAGAAATGGTTTTCCTGTCCCACGGATGGGGTTTCAAAAATGTTCCTATCCCAAATCAGTGCAAAAAGTCAAAAGCTCCAAAAATATTGTGAACCAAAAAGCCAGGGGAAAATATGGGGGTTTGGGTCAATGGAGCCATTTTGTTTACATCACTCAGAACTGTTTTGGTTCGGTTTTTACCTTTCTTTTTTTCTTCTTTTTTCACCTATGAGCCCAAATTGCAGCACAAAGTTAATTTCAACTGGGAAACAGTAACTGTTTGTTTAGAAATCATCAAGCCTTGTTTCCAGGCACACTGCCGTCCCCACACTGGCTTCACAAACTTTCCGTTTTCACAACGCTGCGTTTGTCTACTGAAACATCCCCCTTCTCCCGTTTTGCCAGTAAATTCCCAACAGGGATTGCTTTAGGGCCAGCTGCTCTCTCACACCATATGTACAGCACCTTAGCCCAGTTTGACCCACGGGAAACTGAGGTATGGGCCAAGAGCATGGGGCTCACTCTCTGTCATGCAGTGTGCGTGTGGCAGAGGCCAGAACTATCCCTCGGTCACCTGCCGTAACCCCAATGCCTGGAGTTCCAAATGAGAGAAGCCCAAACAAAAATTATGCACTGGCCAGGCCAGGCAAGAAGTTGCTCTTTGCCAGCCTGGTCAGGCTACAGCAAAACCCACCTCTGCAGCAAGAGCCAGAGTTTGTGTAGGACCTACTGTTTTAGAAAGAGATCCCAAATAATGAAGAGTGGGAAGGAGACAATAGACTGTTTAAAAAACAATAAATGGTCTGATAGCTCCTTATAGACTAACAAAACATGTAGATGGTATCATGAGCTTTGTGCCAGCTCCTTTGATTGAGGGAGGGAAGATTTGGGAATGGGGGGATGGGACATGGATGTCTCAAGCCACCAGATGTGTGGGAACATAATATTCACAGGATAGCTAGTCATTGGAATTAGTCTAAGTGGATTCCTGAAGTTGTGTGTGTGTGTCTGTGAGTACAAGTGTGTGTTTCTGTCTGTGCCTCTGTGTGTGTAACGTCTTGGAAGGAGAGTCTCTGGAGAGGAGTCCTGCTCTGTGCATGTATGTATGTGCGCTGCCCCCTGCTGGGCAGCCTGAGCACGGCTCTGCACCTGCTGCCCCCTGCTGGAGGAGAAGAGCCCTGCTCGCACTCTCTCTCTTGCTGGCTGTGTCTACATTGGCATCCCTTTCCGGAAAAGGGATGCTAATGAGACACTTCGGAATTGCAAATCCGCAGGGGATTTAAATATCCCCCACGGCATTTGCATTTACATGGCTGCCACTTTTTTCCGGCTTGGGGTTTTTGCTGGAGAAAAGCGCCAGTGTAGACGCGATTCTCTGGAAAATAAGCCCCTTTCTGGAAGATCCCTTATTCCTACTTGAATCGTGTCCCTTTCCGGAAAGGGATGCCAATGTAGACAAAGCCTCTGTGTATAGCTGGAGTTTTGCCAGTGTGTGTGTGTGTGTGTGTGCGCGCGCGCGCGCATGTGTCTCTGCTGGAGATGAGCCCTGCTGTGTGTGTGTGTGTGTGTGTGCACGCGCGCGCGTGTGTCTCTCTGCTAGAGATAAGCCCCTGCTCTGTGGGTGTGTGTGTGTGTGCGTGTGTGTGTGTGTGCGCGTGTGTCTCTCTGCTAGAGATGAGCCCCTGCTCTGTGTGTGTGTGTGTGTGTGTCTCTCTGCTAGAGATGAGCCCCTGCTGTGTGTGTGTGTGTGCGTGTGTGTGCGCGTGTGTCTCTCTGCTAGAGATGAGCCCCTGCTCTGTGTGTGTGTGTGTGTGTGTGTCTCTGCTAGAGATGAGCCCCTGCTGTGTGTGTGTGTGTGCGTGTGTGTGCGCGTGTGTCTCTCTGCTAGAGATGAGCCCCTGCTCTGTGTGTGTGTGTGTGTGTGTGTCTCT